CGATGCGCGACCGGGTCGGCGCCGCTGCTGGCAGCGACGCGGGTGCAACGATGATAGTCTACGCAGCGCCATGAGCTTCATAAAGGCGCCTAGGCAACGGACCAGCATGGAGCGGAGGTCGGCGAGGAAGGAGGAGCAGCGAGGTCTCGGGCGGCCGCGCCAATTCCTGTACCTTGTTGGGCTGTTTGCAACTGGGATCAAACGTTTGAATGTCATTATCCGGATACCCGGATACAGCATTCGAATTTTTGAAACCGTGAGAGTTCCTGTTAAGTGCGATTTCAAAGTCCGTGTTTGGATAAGGCTTCCGTAAAGTACGGAAAGGACTTATCTGGCCTTCGCGCCCCACGCCGGTGCAGCCGAAATGGCGCGACCAGCGGCGAGTCCACCCGGTGCACGTTCGGGTGTAGGCTCAAGATATTGCAAGGTTGTACAACCAAGACCTTGATCCACATTGCACGCTGTGGCAGTTGAAGCCATTGACTGGTGGCCCCGAGATCTCGTACAGCAACCGTAACCGCAACATCCCTTTCAAACCCGAAACGCGGTTGCCAGGCGCGCAACCGCAATCTGCAGCATTGACTTCTTCTGCTCTCGCTCGTCGATTGTAGCCTCCTTGGGCCAAGCGCTGTCAACGACCTCTGGTGGAGCTACTGCAACGTGTCAAATTGCTTCGTCTTTGTGACGCATGGCAGCGCAACTTTCAACCAATGATCCCGATCGACCTGCCGTGAAGCTCTCTGCTTGTGGGCGCGATCGTGTCAGCGTCGAGACTCGTGCGATATGTGGCGGCGACAGCAAGTGGAATCTCGCGCGTGATTTGGAAAACCGTCGAGCACCGTGCACTCGCTCACTCGGCGCGCGGTATCATGTCAACCACATAGCGCGCATCGTGTAGGGCATCTACTACTTGGACTGGGCTTCCGCTGTGCTCAATGGCATCCTCACGGTTGCGCTCGAATCGACCAAGTACGCCTTTGATACCATGCTCTAGCAGCACCGAGTGTTGTGTACAGCTAAAACGGTGTTGCCGACAAGTACCCGATGATGTAGCTCATGATGGAATATTGTGATATTTTGATTTTTGACATTTTAGCTCTGGATCACAGCTCTGCCGGCGGCGCGCTCGCCGCCAGTGTAAGGGTTTCTGGCTCCTTGGCAGCTTCGGAATGCGTTGGGTGCCATGGGGCGATGGGTGGACACTCTGCGCAGCCTTGGCAGCACGCGTTGCACACGGGACCGATCTGGCTCTGGGGAATGAGGATCAAGTCGGCGGTGAGCTTGGTTGACTTCATGTCGAGGACGGCGCGGAGCGGCTTTTGCTCGTCGGCCGTCTACCACCGTCCTTTGAACAGTTGGATCGCACACAATGAATCACAGTACCGGGATGACGGTAGGTACAAGGTCGTCTTCGTGGGCGTAATACCCCAACCAGTACGTCTGCAGCGCTTTCACCGGCCATTGGTGCGGGTTGGCGCTCGATGTCATGAGGAAAAGTGCTTCTTGGTACATGATGTGCCGCCTACGCATCTCTCGGTGGTGGCCACATTGGCGTGGACTACCGCTGGACGCTGCCGTCTCGCTGGAGCTCAATACGAGGTCGCACCGACTCGAACGTCAAGTCGTCTTCGTCGTCCATGACCACCATGCCAATGACCGAGCTCAGGCCGCCCTACCCCGCGTCAGCCGCCGATACCAGCGACATAGCATGGGTACCGGGCGACTCCCAACAACATAGGAATGCTCAACGAGCGGGTCGACAGGAAACAGGAAGACGCGTACCTTGATGCGCACGACCATGACGACGGTTCGACAAGATTCGCGATCTTTGCACCTGGCCTTTCTAGAGCAGCGTAGCTTGCAGGATCCTGTTGGCATCGTCGCTCAGTTATATCCAAGCGAGAGAGGTTTCTTGGCGTAGGTTGATTGCTGCACGATCGAAGCGTGCTGTCGTGTGGGACATCGCCACGAAGAGAAAGGACGAAGATAGAATCAAAATTGGGATGGATGCTCACGCTACGCCTATGCGCTCTGCTGCTCGCCGATGCGGATCTTGAGCTGCATGACCTGGATGACGGCCTCGAGGTTCGTGCGCTTGGCCTCGATCACTTCCTTGAGCGAGTCCGTGTTCTTTTGCAAAAACTCGACCTTACGGTCCATGAAGCTCTTGGCGTCGTCCACATTCTTCTCGACAAAGTAGCCAGTGCCAACGTCGACGAGCACGCTCTTGACGTTGCTAAGCTTCCCGGGCACAAACATGGACGACGTCAGCGGCACGAGCACCTTCTTGCCGAGGTTCGTGGGCTCGAGCGCCTGCAGCGCGCCCTTGGAGTCGGCGAAGCGCGTCTGCGCCTCGCGCAAGCCCGAGAAGGACGACGTGAGCTGCTGCAGCTCTTGCTCGAACTGCGTCTTGAGGTTGTTGAGCTGCTCGAGGCTCAGATCCATCAAGCTCACTTCATTCGACATCGTAGCGACCACGGAAACTCCAAATGGGCGTGCGCCTGGCAGTGTATCCGGAGTGGCAGGGTATCCGGACAATTGTGATTAAAACAGTATATTAGCCTGTTTTGTATCGCTCGATCGAGACTCTCCAAGATCCAACGCGCGATCGACACCCAGAGCCCCCCGACGTCAAGCACTGCATTTTACTAGCGAGGATACCGATGCTGCATCGCGGAGGCACACGTGCATATGTACGGACATGAGTACCAAAGGCGACACACAAAGCGACAGGCTGTGGTGCGATCGCATTGTTTTATACACTTGTTCGTGAGCATGTTTATAACAAATAAAAACATCGTTACCAGCAGCCTCATTTTCGACTCTGCCAGGATGGACCCGTCGTCAGCGCCCGGTACCGAGTTCTTCTCGATGGAGAACATGGCCAAGAACGAGGCCGTCGTCGAGTTCACGCACACGGCCATGTCGGTCGTCTCGGGCAGCCTCGCCGGCGTCATGGGCCTCACGGGTCTCCAAGGCTTTGGCTGCATGATCCTGCTCTACCTCGCGACGTCCGGCGCGCTCCTCGCCAAGATGGGCGCCGACTGCTCGCCGTACTTCAACATGAACGTCGTCAGCTTCCTCTTCTACGGCATTGGCGGCCACCTCGTCTCGTTCATTCTCTTTTGGACCCTTGCGTATGGCCTCGTCCACATCTACTAGCTGCGCCGCCTCGTAACGTTAACTTGCTTCTTGCCCTTTCTTGTACCCGCGCCGTCCGTCACGACGCACTACACGACGCACACGGTACGTAGCATCAGCGAGCCTACGCACGAGGCAGCTGCGTCGAGACGTAGCCACGCCGAGCGATCCTGGGAATGGACTGCGCTTGTACGCAGTCTTGGGTCGTCTCTTGCAATCCTAGCCGCTGTATTGTTTGCTGGATGATGGCCTTGCTGGATCTATGCTTTCGCATGCCAAGACGTGTAGATACTACTCATATTCTGAGCCTGGACGCTGCGCCGCGAGGTTGCCGCGAGGTTGAAGCCGCAGCTCGTGCAAAAGACGGCTGCGTCTCACCTGCCGTTGTCACAACGAACAAGAGAATGACAAAAATCAAGATGACAGCCGTACTGTACGTGCACACGCCGTCGTTGTTGACGTGAGTCTTCTACACTCGACTGGTTCGAGACCGTGGGCTTTCGGCGCCAAGCGTATTGCGACGGAGCGGCGGCTTCAAGGAGGCGAGCATACGATGGCTAAGATGGTATGATAAGCCATGCATTTCACTTGGGATTCATTTGTTCTAGAAGAAGACACATCGCTTGGGTGGTGCAGGTGTTGAGGAGGAGACGCGTGGTCTTGAATGCGGATGGCGTCATCAACTAAAGGATGACACATTGCGATGAATGCGATCAGGTAGGTCCGATCCCATGCAACGGACCGAGGAAGCAGGATGGCACAGCGCTGGCTACTAGTGCGTTGGCATGCTGCACACTGCGTACGACCTCTTTGTGGGAGTCGAAGAAAGCAGCTCGCTTGGACGAGTCGTGAGGAAGGAGTAGAAGCGATCAAAGAAAAGATATCAATGGGGTTTCCTTGCGTCTGCTTCTCACTCGAGCCAGCTGGGTTTGTCAACGACGTACACCCGACGTGGCTGCGTGCACGATACCGGTACAGTAGCTTCATGGAGTACCTGGTACTGCAGTCGCTAGGTTGCCGACTCCTCTTGAACAGTGCGGGTGATCTATGCTCGTCGTGGCCGGGTGTCGGCGATCAAACACGACCCGATGCAGGATAACGGGCTGCGCCGTCGCTGTCGCCGATGGCTGCGCTGTGACCAACTCGTTGCTTCTGCCAACGATACCACGGTGCTCGCGGCCACTTGCCTGATCTCTCTTGCGTCCGCTAACCAAGATTCGCACAAGCACCGAGCCTGGTGTTGTATTACTGTATGCACCCGTGTACATTATGTGTTCTGGCCTTGGTGTTACTTGTCCCTCAAGCTACGTCAGCACATACCCAAGAAATTCAGCGCCGGCTAAGAGGGTCGTGATAGCGCTGCCACATGGAGGTCAGCAGCGTTGGCGACTCGAACCAAGCTGGGCCAGCGACGATAATCTCATCCAAGAGGCAAGCAGCCGATGTTGTCTCGATCCTGATGTTGACGTAAGGCCACCGACGTCGGAAGGTCGTGCGCCAACCGTTCGCACCGGCCGATTCGGCGGCACCAGGCGGCAACCAATCCGCTAAAACGTCTGCTTCGGCGCGTCACGAACCCAACTTGCGTATGACGTGGCACGGACACAGTTGTAATTTTTGCGCCGATGCACCAAGTGCGGACCGGGACGTGGACGTCGGAGGAGCACGAGCTCTTCCTCATTGGCATTCAGAAATACCCGAAAGGACCTTGGCGCAAGGTCGCCGAGCTCATTCGGACGCGGTCCGTGCGCCAGACACAGACCCACGGGCACAAGTTCCGACTCAAGCTCGCACGCATCGAGGCCCAGCGCTGGGTCGGCGGCTTCCGATACCCCGTGCACCCGACCACCGCCCCGCTCATTGTCACAGACGAGCTGCCGCCGCTCGCCCACGCTCTTGACTTTATTCTCGAGCAGCTCAGCGAATCCGACGACGATCGACCACAACCCGCTATGGTTGCATCTTCCTAATACAACACACTACCTTGCCTGCCGTACATCGTTTGCCGCTGTGTGTCGACCCGTACATAGCCAGAGTTTTAGCGCGCTGTTGATGGCTTGGACTGGTACCGCACCCGTACTATTTGCGTTTCTACAGCGCATTGCCGAGTTTGTCAAGCCGTCTTCAACGAGGTGCGTGACATCGTCGATGCCACGGGATGTGCTGCTACCGATGCTTGTACGAGAAGCAACTGTACCACTAAATTTACGGTAGTATGCACGAAGCGCGTCCGCTGCTTGCTGATTGGTGGGATAAAGACACGATCGGTTGGTGCTGCTACCAATCCGCAGCGCCGTGTTCTTCCAACGTGGACCCATCCAATTCACTTCTATCGAGGAGTAAGACGACCGTGAGCAATACTCCATTGCGTGGTCACGCGAGTGGAATGCATCATGTCCCTTGTAGATGCCTGGACACCGCTGCAGCTCACCGCTGCATTCGATCAATACGACGACGACGAGCACCACCGCCACAACGACACGCAGGCACGTGCAGTACCGGTAGACTATAAACCCCGACTCGTCCACAGTGACGTCCATTCGACGCGACACTTGACAAGAAACTGAATACCGTGTAGATCAACATTTGGTAACCTATCGATTGCATCAAATATGGACCGTGTGTGCGCAGTTGACGACAAGATGACGCAACTGGGGCTATCTCAGCGCGCGACAATTTCCCCAGTCGTTGTGGCCAGCGCTGCTTCGTTTACACTGGCCGCACGCCAAGGTGATTTATTCACGTACCACCTCAATCTACATACACTATTTACGGTGCGCTACGTGGCATCGTGTGCGTGCAGTAAATCGAAAACAGATGTCGCAGTAGACACAAACCCCTCGGTCGTACCACAATGAAGAAAATGGTGCTTTCGTCACGTGTACGGCAACCACCACCTTCTTTCTCTCAGCCTACACAAGCGCACAGGCTTGTCTGCGTGAACCGTGCGTATCTGTCTCGCATCTTGGGCGCCGACCGTGGCACGCATGACGACACGACAGTCCTGTGATGCGGCGCTATTGCACCCACTTTGAATCCCTGCTGGTGGCCACCGAGTGCCAACCATCAACGTTGCCAACGGCTCGTTTTATAGCAGACACTCGGCTACAACATCTGCGCGTGGGCCTGAACGAACGTTGATGAACCCTTCCGTATCCGTAGTGCTATCGGACGCATCCGGATGAATCGACCTATTGTTGCTTGTTCGGCTACTGTAGTACCTTGGTCTTTTGTTTTCTTCTCGAGCAGACGCAACAGACCACATCATTTGGCTCTGCTAAAACATAGAAAATCGAACCGACACAGTAGATGCCTGGTGCACGCCATCTAAAGTTCGGTGGCGTCTGATCAGCGTACGCTGACAAGAACGACGACCAAAGACACTGCGTCGACCAAGCACGCTTGTCTTCATTGCGTGCGATAGACCAGGGGGCACAGTATCCATTGGCGCGGTGCCGCGTGGCGCGATGCCTTGGCCTTGGCCATGCGTGCTCGTCCGTCGCACACTACTAACGCGAGTAGCTCGTTCTCGATTCCCAGATGTACCGAGAGCGTGGCCGCCATGGTTTAAACACGTTTTACGTGTCCGCGGAAGCGTGTTGCGGTGGCGATCTCCGCCGACCAATGTGAGGTTGCACACGTCCTGTATCCACGCTGCCTTTTTCTCGGTTGCAAGCATTCTTCGCATACTAGTACCACATTGCAGTTCCTCCAGCCGCTGGGGCATAGTAGTGCGGCGTGAGGCCACGGACTTTAACGCGTGCCACTCCTTGTACGACGAGAGAGTCGGCGCGTCTCGGATTGCCGCTGTTGGACTCCATTTTGAAAAACACAAGGTGCATCATGGAGCTCGCGTCCGGCAGTTGGTCCCGCGACGAGCATGAGCGCTTCCTCGTTGCGATTCAAAAGTACCCCCGCGGGCCGTGGAAGAAGGTGGCCGACCTCGTCGGCACGCGCACCGTGCGCCAGACGCAAACGCACGCGCAAAAGTTTCGTGAAAAGCTAGCGCGCCACGAACGCGCCGCCCTCGCGACCGCGGCAACACCTGCGCTCCTCGACGAAGCGGCGCTCGTACCATTGCCGTACGATGCAAGCAGCACTGGACTTGTACTAGGTAGCAGCCCGCGAGACGACGTGATGCCGCACACAACGGTGTCGGACGCCGCGTCGCTGCCGTCACTGGCCGAGTCGATTGATTTCTTGATGAGCGTCATTGCCAACGCTGACAACGCGCCGTCACTGCCTGCGTAATTTAGATGCGTTTAATCATTTTTGAGTGTGTGCACTCGACCTCGGGGTCCAGTGGTGGTGACGCGATGAAGTCGTTTGACAGAACGATAGACGACGCAGACTTGGTACCAAGCAAAGTGGCGGCAAGGGCGACAGACCTGGTAAAGACACTCCGTGAAAGGCAGTAAACCATTTCTTATCGCTTTTAAAACGCGCCTTTCATGCTTCTCTCTCGTTATACATCAAGGAACGGAGGCAAGTGATGTATGATGTCCGCAGGATTGTTCGGTGGCGACGTGATCCCGTTGCGAGTCAATCGAATATTTGCCCATCGAAACCAAGCATGACACGAATCGCCGATAGACTGTGGTATAAAGTACTCGTCTTAAAGCTAGTCGTCGAGCACTTGTTGATTTGTGTATTTTAACACGACAGGCACATTTGCACTCATTCCTGGACACCGCTACGAAGCGACCCCCGGACACTGTACACTGTAGGAATGGATTTGCGTTCAAGTCGAACACGAAACTCGTGCGACAAAACCGATGAGAGATCGAGTCGACTAGGTTGCAAGAGTCTACTCACTGCGACGGACTGTCCTTGCTGGGTCCATCGGACCACCACCGGCTCCGGACAATCGAAGGTCTTGTAACCGCGATGCCACAGCGCCGCTCCGTGGTCGCTTTGTGCAGCACGCCACATACAAGCTGCTCGCCGCATAGCATGGTAGCGTCGATGAGCAACGCATGGACTGTCTGTGCGACACGAGTAGCCAGGGATACTAGGTGGCGTACCACGCTTTTTTGAAGGCAACGCGACGCGTCAACGGCAGACCAGATTCTTGGGATAGCGTTCTGTCGCTCTTCGTCTACCAATGCTTTTAGATGCTTGAGCACTTTTATACTAGAGTAGTATGACAGAGCATCGATCGATGCAGACACAGTAAATGCAGGCCACGCGTGGAGGACGCTTAGCCCGCGCCAAGATCGCGGTGTACCCGTCAACCACCTTCAGTACTAAATGTAGTAGCCGGAAATAGCTGCCCAGATGTCATGTCATCTTTCCCTTAGAAACCCTGTGGCCTAATAGTGGTCTAGCGGTATGATTCCTGCTTACGTGCAAGAGGTCTCGATTCGGATTTTTTCCCTGCGAGCGTTGGCCGTGCCACATTGGTTTAGCGCATTTGAACGCCACAAAGCAGGGGCAAAAGATACGCTTCTCACTTCATCGCGTTGGGAGACTTGACCAAACTGATTCGAGAGCCCTATTCCATGCCTCGACCATGTAGAACCTCTAATAAACACCACAGACACGGCGCAGCGGTCAAGCGGTACGATGTCAACCCAAAGTAGAGGATAAAATCAGTCTTTGTCTCAAGAACCGAGTATCCAATACGAGTAGAAAAATAGAAACCTGGCGAAAAGTATATCCTAATCGACTCACGGCAACATGACCTATGATAACCAAAGACTTCCTACTATTTCAATCAGAGCCATAATCTCCGGCACAGGCACCTATCGCTTCGACACAAAGAATCCTTGTAGCGTTGAGCCTAGCCTGGATGACTAAACATTGAATTTCTCAGACCATGAAATTCAAAACTCAAGGCAACACTTCTATCCGCTGGATTAGTACCCCTGTGCTATACAACGCGCAGACAAAGCTCCTTCCTTGTCTTGTCTTGTTCGACACCATCTGCGAGGCTTAGCCGCCCAGGAGATGCCGACCGCGATCTGCCGATAGAAAGGACACCCATCGAAGTTGGTATACCGATGAATCATCGGTATACCGATTCGTTCGCGTTGCTGACCAATCGTCTTGTACGACAATGTGCTCCACATAAAGCCTTCGCGACTATATTGAATGTGTTCTTTCAGGCCTCTACGGTGTTGTTGCAGGTGCGAGCTGCAGGTGTGCGTTTGGCTCGTTTGCTCGGGCCCATGCAACTTCAACATGTCGGCGATCACCGCCATCTGCCGCACCATATGTGCGATCGGGACCGGAAGGTCCACGAGCTGCGAACGATGACTCACTTTTCCGCATCGTAGAGACTGGGCACCTTACGCAGTGGATGGATGACCGTGAAGCTCACGTGGGCGTGGATGAGCTCACGTGGGCGTGGATGCGCTTGGGTAAGTGCAATCGATACCCTGTCACTGCAGGTCGTATTACCGGTGTATGTATGGGACGCACATCACGTGGCAACGCGGGGACCAGGAATATACCAACCGCACGATCAACGGCACCCACCGGCCTCAAAATTGGGGAAAGCGCCAATCGAGTACTAGTACTACGTATACCGAGACGCCTACGTTGTTGCGCAAGCTGCTTGGCGGCGCAAGGCTGGGTGCTGCCAATGGCATCCGTAGCCTCGCAGGCGATTTGACCATCCACCTCTCAGGATTTGAAGTGTTGCCGTGCCCAGAAGCTTGATGCCGTCACGCGTGCGTCGGTCCGCACTGCGACCACACGAGCATCTGTTTGTGCATATGATTTACGGCTCGAATGACCGTGACGTGGCCTTCGTAAAAAGAGAATTGGGCTGGATTCTGTAGCGAAACTGAGGCTTGGAATCTTGCTGTGCGCCTGTGGAGTCCTCTTGGCGAACAATACAGTGCATCGGCACCGTGAGAAACAGGTCGCCGTTGCCTTCAGTACAGCCATGCTACTACACGCTTTGTTTCTGCGAGCCAAATATCTGCTACCACACCGTATTCTATTGTATGGGGCAATTTGATGGAAACTCGTGGAAGGTCATCGATTGGAGTACTTGGTATCGATAATTGCGTGTTCCTTTGAAGAGGCGTCAAGGATGACTGGTAGAACAGTTCAACACGAGAGTCGATGAACGAACATGGCGACGGAGATGATGACATGACTTATTTTTCTGTTGCAGACCAAAGCAGCGGCTGCAACGTGGGAGTATCATCACTTTAAAGTGGCAACAAGCTCGCATTTATTGGCGGCCTCTACTGTTGTCGAAGCTACGAGCTGCGATTTTGGCGCGAAGGGCAGATAGTGTGCCGTTCCAGATACGCCTCCGCTTGGTGCACAGTGGACTGTCGAGTACCGTGTTTCGATACTACAGTAATCGAGACACGGCTGTAGAAGGGAGGGAGTGGCACGACATTGTGCTAGAGTGGGATGTTTGGCGACGCCCTCCGAGGGCATGAGACACATACGGCCTTCACTGTGGTATGATATAGCCCTTGTGCGCCATACTGCACTCCCAATCGAGGTCACTGGAGCACCCTCACTTTGCGTTTCGCCATGTTGCAGACAACCCCCGAGCACCACTGCAACAACGACGATAATGCCAGCAGCCACGGTGGCAAGTGGTCCCGCCAAGAGCACGAACGGTTCCTTGTCGGCATCCAAACGTATCCCCACGGTCCGTGGAAGAAGGTCGCGGCCATCGTCCAGACCCGCACGACGCGCCAGACGCAAACGCACGCGCAGAAATTTCGACAAAAGCTCGACCGCCAGGACCGCGCCGTGCGAACCAACCAAGCGTTCGAGAACCGAGACGTGTACCTTCCGTTCCCGTTCTCGCCCGAGGCACCACCGCCGAACCTTGAAGAGCCCTCGTGGCGGACACCGACGCCACTCCCGCCACTCGCCGAGGCCCTTGACACGCTCATTGCGCTTCTCGACACGGAGGTCCCGTCGGTGTAGATGCGTTAGCGATCCTTTTATAACTTTCTTGTACAAATGAATAGAATAGATATTAGATTTGATCCACTAGCTTTACCAGCGCGATGCGGTGCCAACTTGAAGCAAGCGAGGAGGTACCCACGATGCGAGCAGGCGAATGCAACTTGACTTGCGCTCGATGCAGACGAGGCCCACAAGCCTCGATCCCAGGACCAACATCGTTTTGGACCAGACGCCACTTCAAATCCTCTCGTGGATGTCATGACCGGGTTGCACAGAAGGGACGTGCAAAAGATCGCAGCACGCGGTCACTGGACACCTTGAGCTGATTTCTAACCGGGCGCGAGGGGTGCCACCTGGTGCTCGATGCGAACGCCACGCGGTGCGAGCAGTCAGCTTAGTCAAAAGGGTCTAACTAGAGGTCATGGACAATGTATCTGATTGGTCCAGCGCATCAATTACGTTTGTTTATTTGTTGCACATCACTACAGATGGCGACCTCGGAGCATCGACGTCGCGGGCGTCAGAAGCGACGCGCGGCAAAAGACATACCGGTAGGTACATGTAGACACGCTCGCGTCGAATTGATAAAGTCGGGCAAGCCAGCTTGAAGCGGAATGCGCATACGACTCGCCGTGTACACAGCGAGACCGGAATGCTTCGGAAGAAGAATAAAAGGGCTCAAGAGTCATAAGACATATAAATAGCCAGAAAAGTTGTCGTTGTTGTTGAAGTGGGTCGTCTATTACTATAGATATAAACTATGCTAAATAAGAATGTCGGACTTTCTTCGTTGTATGTACTCGGTTGAGGGACTTGATTTAGGCAGGCTGAGGCAGGAGCGCGATCCGCGGGACGAGGTGACGTCGCGGCCACCCAGAAAAGTTGTCGTGCCGAGTCTATTGGCCGCGTGATCATCTTGCGTGATTCTTGTCGTTCGCTTACCCGTCCTTGAGCTTCAACTCTGTCGCTCGGACGTTGTGCAGTCCTTTCATGCCTCCACAGTACTCACGAGCTGCCAACCTCGGTGATTACAGCCGCACCGAATGCGCGTGTCGATGATAAACTCACGTCATCTTGTTAGCGTTATCGTGCTCAAGTGGCGTGTTTACGCAGCCTTGGCAAAGAGTACATACTCGTGCTTGGAGAGGTCGCCTTCGGCCTGCTTCCACGTCGTAAGGACTTCCGTTGTCGAGTTGCGCTTCCACTGGATCACACGCGCACTACGAGGCAGCTTCGGGTCCCCGTACGCCGCACCTGGAGCGCCCGTTTCAGTTGGAATGTTTTCGACGAGCAATGCAAGCTCTACCGTAGCCGACGCCGCCGCCGTAGCAGAGCTGGACACCCCGACGGGCAACGCAGTAGTCGTTGTAGTGGTCGTGGCCCACAAACGTGGCCTTGACATCGCGCACTACAACGCCGTTTCATGAGGCAAAACCAAGTCGAATCGAACGGCGTGTACTCGCTACGATCGTGTCGAGCAGACCCGACTGCGGACCGTTGGTGACCTTTTCGCCTTGGTGGCCGTACGTGATCTTCTCATTGGGGCCGAGGATGTACTCTGGGATCGGAATGTGATGAAACATGATTGCCGTCGCATTCTCGGATGCGTGCGAGGCGGCGAGCGTCCGCATGTAGTCGTTTTGACCCTTGGACACGGTACCTTTGGTCCCAGTGTCGAGAAAGTACATGCGAAACACCGCGTTGGCATTGGCGCCAGTGACTTGAAGGTCGTAGTTGCCGGTGCCACCGATGCCGTCGGGGCCGCTTTGGGTGTAGGCGAACGGCCGCGACGTAATATAGTCAATCATTTGCTTGCGCGAGAAGGATTTCTAGCAGCGTATACAAAACCACATGAGAATTGTGTACAAAATCACCAATCGGAGGACGTACGCCTTCGTCGTGGTTGCCAAAGACCATGGCCCACGGCACCTGGCGCTGAATCGCGTTGTTGGAATACATGTCGATGGCCTTCTTGACCTCGGTTACGGTCTACAAAAGCATTGTCGGTTAGGAGACACATATGATGGAGGGGTAGGGTCTTGCATGTTTGATGCCGGTGTTTTCAACTTGGTCGCCCGTAAAGACAATCAGGTTGGGCTGCACGTGGTCCACGAGCCGGCCGATGAGGTCCGTCATGTTGTACTCGCCGCACGGCTTGTGGGGCGGGCCGTTGCACGCGTACTTGGGGTTGCCCGTGTAGTGCATGTCGGGAATCTGCAGCACGGTGAAGCTCAGCTCGGGCTGCCCCGCGCTGTCCTTGCCGACGACCGCGTCGAGAGAATAATCGCGAGCTGTTGGCTCGACGTCTTGGGCAAGCGACGCGACTGCGAGGAGCGCCGTCGTAGCACAAGGCAACCAGTACGCGGGCATTGGGTGGGTGGTAGACGAGGAAAATGGAAAAGTGATCTCGTGGCTATCAATGAAGCATCGAGCTGGCCCGAGCTGCGTAAGATTCAAAGCGACAAGGCATCGATAGGAACCAGATTGCTGTGAATCTCGCAGAGGGGTCATGCGTCGCTTCAGATTCCGCCAACTCAGACTCAGACCGACGGTTTCATACTGCGTGCATACAAACTCATCCATATTCCCACCACGTGCAGCATTTTCAAATCTTGATGGCAGCTGCGCAGTCCACCAGTAGCAAGGCTTTAGATCTTGGCAGATATTTCTAATAGGTCATGAATCTTTGGCGTAGGCCTCAAGTTGAGCCTTAACGGCTCGAGAGGCCACCAGAACATCTGGTGCTTGCGTACACCAGTGCTCAACATAAGACTTTGAAGCACTCGCCTGCTTGCTACGATGCGTAGAGTTGCAACGTGACCTTGGAATCTATGACCAAGACTATCGTCACTTTGTCATGACTTTCGTGCAACGGCTACTCTGAATCTCCCACGAGGTTTGGGTCATTTCATGTTTTCTGATTTTTCCCACGAAAGTTGATAAAGGCCGACGTAATGCATTCGTTGGAAGCATTCAAGACAAATACGTACATCGACTAGACGCCAGTGGCATTTTTTGAAAAGATGCCTCGTCGGTACACGAGGTACTCGTGCTTGGTGTCGTCGCCATCACCTTGCTTCAACGATAAATTACTTCGTCGGTCGAGTTGCGCTCCCACTGAATCGCTGCTTGGGGTCCCCTACGCCGCCATATCATGTGCACCTTAGGACGTAAATCACCTCCTTCGACGATGCACCGTAACCGACACTGCCGCCGTACCACAGCTGGACGCCCGGCCGGAGCACGCCGTAGTCGTTGTAGTGGTCGTGGCTGTCAACCGTGGCCTTGACAGCATGCATTGCGTGAGAACATTCCCTTGAGACAAAATACCCACTCGCGACAAGCGTGTCGAGGAGATCGCACCGAAGACCGCTCGAGCCGGGCTGGGACCGTACGTCGGTTGGCTGCTTGACGCGAGGTTGAACTCGGGATGGGAATATGGTGGAAGAGCACGGCGGGGGCGGGGGGTCGCCCGATTCATCAAGTAGTTTTTGCTGCTTGTCCGAGATGACGCCGTCGCAGTCCGTGTCGAGATAGTAATACATGCAAAAGCTGGTTCCGCTGTTGGGCGATGCCACTTCGAGTTCGCAGTTGCCGACTTTAGCTTTTGAGTAGCGACGTGATGTCATTTCCTGACGACCTCACGGCGCCGATAATACAACGCCATACGATAAAGGGTACATAAATTGCAATTCGTCGAGATGGAGGAGATGGATAGACACCTTCGTCGTGGCTCCAAAAGACCACCATGGCCCATGGCACTCGCTTGGGCATTGGCAGAATCGCAAGCCCTTGACTTCCTGAATTGTCGAATGATTCATCCTTTCGACAGACTGGAAGATGGGACACCTGAAAGACGCGCCGGACGGTCGATGATGCGATGAGCGTTTGGGACTCGAATTCCCAGACGTAAATAGAGGGCGAGTGGCTGCCACACATCGTAAGACAGAGTACGTCACTTCAATGCTTTCGACTTGACCGCTTGGAAAGACGACGAGGTTGGACTGCACGTGATCGAGAAGCTCGTTGATACAAGCCGTCATGTTGTACTTGCCACGCGGCTCGTGCGGCAGTACCGGTTGCAGTCGCCGTGTCGGGCATCTGCAGCACGGTGCAGCTGCCTGGGTGGGCAGCTGTCTGGGTGGTGTCAGCCACAACGACTCGATCGCTTGACACGGCAAAGGACAGAAACACACACAAACTCGTGACGTGGATATATATCAGAGAGTTATATAAGATTAGTAGAAGATCGAATGCCAAGAGCTCCAACGGCAGTCTACTCCGACTACTCGTCGTCGCTGCTCTCGTCGTCGTCGTCGCTGTTGTCGCCCAAGAGACTCATGAGCTTCATGGCCATGTCGGCGGCACGCGCTCGGCGCTCGTCGTCCGTGAGGCGCTGCAAGTTGACGTCTTCGCGGATGCTGAGCACCTCCTGCAAAAGCGCCTCAAAACCTTCGTCCTGCTCGAGCAGCGACGGCGTCGAGGCGGGCGTCGGGTGCGGCGTCTTGGGCGCCTTTGGTGCAGCTGCTGGCGCCGACTCGGCCGTCGGGTGGCGCACGCCG